CCAGCTTGGAGAATATATATAGAGAAGGAACATTACACAGGCCTCCAGAGGAAGCATATTTTAGAGCATGGCGCCACTACTGAGAGAGGGAGAGGAGGAGTGGGAGAGGGAGCGGAGCGGGAACAGAAGGGAGGGAGGGAGGGAGAGGGAGAGGGAGAGAGATCTAATGATATATAAATGTAATAAATAAATATTAACAAGAAATTAACAATAAATGTAACAAGAATGTAACATGTAAGTTCTTTAAGATAAAAGTGGGCATAAAAATAAGATAAAAACAATCGAAGATTTAAAGAATTTGTACCTGAATATCAAAAGAAATTCAGAAATATCTTGAATATTAAATAATAAGCTGCCATTGATAATACTTAAAATTCAACCCAGGCCTAGAAAATCCATGGAGTGTGCCAAAGGATTTCAGTGATTTAAAAACATACTTGAAATGTACTGTCTAAAAATGATATTTATTTTTAAATAATGTATATGTACATGTTTAAAATTAATGATTCCCATGATATAACCGAAGTCTTCCGTTCTCTTTTAAATGTTTATCTGTTAAGCTTGTCATATGCCACATTAAACTCCCTCCCAGGCCAGCAACCACTCTCTCATCACAAAGCATATTTCTGAGAACCTCATTTCATTCTGGAGAGAATAAAATCGAAAGGAAAAGCAACAGCTGTGATCTCTATCGGATACAAGACTTTTCAGCCCTACCAACTGGCTTCTTCTTACATGTGACTTCCAACTTCATGCTCTGCCAATACCTGACAAGGAACCTTCTTATAACATTCGATAGTAAGTCTCATCACATGAAACACAACAATATTATTTTTTTAAAATGTTCTACTTTATTTTGCATCACATACAGGTTTTGTTACATTACTACAAGCAAAATAGGAAATCTCAGTGCTGAACAGTTGGGGACTTGCGAGGATGTGTTTGAAGACAGGGATGCTAAATGCACAGTTTGCTCAGCATGGAATGGATGAACACCAAAACTGAGAATTTTTTTGATGTTTTTATTTCAATTTTATAAAGTTTGTATAGCTATTAAAATAACTTTGCATAAGTCTCCAAAGATAATCAGTTGAAGTTAGAAAATTTGGTAAGTACTATTCAAACAACTGTTGGATATGGGTCATTCTAAAATACTCATTCATTTCTATGGGAAATGCATTTTAGAAAGGCATCCTGTCTTTTTTGCTATCCCTTGCTACAAAATTTACTTATTTGTAACTGTGGTTCTTCATAGGATCATCCATCCATTCACAGATATGAGATCTGAATCTACACAGAAGCCTACTAGATTATTCTCCAGCTGGGATTTTTTATGGGAATTCTATTCCATTGGGCATATCTAACAACATGATTCCCACCGTTTCTTCAATTTTCCCAAGGCAAACTCAACAGTTCTAGAAACAAAGCAGTCACTACAATAAGCATCTATACAGACAAAGGCGAATGGGTTATGTGTATGCAAAATGACAATTCAAAGAACACAATCACAGGTGAGCAATCTTTTTTTTTTCATCATGCTTTCTGCACAACACATAAAAAGTGAGTATCAAGTGTACCTTAGACAGTGTGCAATATTTCAGGTGAGGTTAAAGACAGCACAATTCTGCCAATTTGTTTATGCTTGGACATCAACTTACAACCAAAATTGAGCCCAAAATTTCTGTTGCTAATTGAGACATTTGTTAAGTGAATTTTGCTCCATTTGGGGGCCTTTTGTGCTACAGTAGTTAAGTGAAACGCTGCAGTTGGTAAAATTAGTAATATAGTTTTTCAGTGAATCTGGCTTTCCCATAGACTTTGCTTATCAGAAAGGTGATCACATGACCCCTGTGATACTGCAACCATCATAACTGTGAGTCAGCTGCCAAGTGTCTGAATTTTGATCACATGAGCATGGGGATGCCGCAACTGTCATAAGTGTGAAAAACAGCTATAATAATTTTTTTCAGTGTCATTGTAACTTCGAATGGTCACTAAAATGAACTGTTGTAAGTCGAAGATTACTTGTATTGTGCAGCTGACCGCTAATCAGAGCACATGGCTACTCTGAACAGGTCTTGGGGAAGTCACTCTTTAGAACAGTAATGCAGAAGTTGAAAGTGCTTTTATGGAATGTGAAACGGATTAATTGGTAAAATCCTTGTAATCTGTCTCACATGTAACTTGCATCTGCACAGCCAACCCATTTGCTCTCCCTCCCCATGGCAGCAACACAGTTAGATTCCTCTAATTGTATTAATACTACAAGTTCTTCAGCTATAGGCTTTTTCAGGACTGAGAGGCTTTGAGACCATACAAAGCAATTTCAACTGTAGCTGTGTGAACATTACCACATTGATTGTGGATGGCTCTTTTTGGTCTGGTATAAATTGAAGTTGAGAGTTCTGAGATCATAGGAGTGGGTTCCAGTTTGAACAATCCTGATCCACACGCCTTAGTGTGAAGAAGAAGAAGAAAAAGGAAGCAGTAACCAGCCCAGTGGCAGGTCAGAACAGAAAAAGAGACAGAGAATGAATGCTAGTATTAAATGGCAGGTATCTGTTGGGAGGAGCTACTGAAAAGCACTATAGGAGTACTTCTATTGGTGAAGTGTAATTTACTCCCTTACCCATTCTGGTAGAGGTTTTGGACAGATGGAGGATCCATATATGAAATGTGATGCACAGAGACCAAAATAAACCAAAAATAATTAAAAAGTATAGAACCAAAAATAATTATTAACTGGAAATAAGAAAAGAGAAGATCAATTCCTATTTTCAAAACTGTATCTGTGCTACCCCGTAATCAACTATCCAACCAAGGGAAACTTAATTGGGAGATATTTGTCTCCTTTTTCCTCCAATTAGAAATGGGGGAGGGGGGTGTCAATGTTACTTCAACCAGGAATTAATCAGACAAAAAGCTTAGGCAGAAATAATATTCTTTAGACCATAATGACTAAACATACAGAGAAGCATTTCATACATTTTGCTAAAAAACAAACAGCAAACTTACAAAAATGTTGTACATTTTCTTTTTCAATAAGGCAAGAGTGCACATTTTTTTCCCTCAGGCAGAGGATCTCATAATATACTGTCTCTACAACCAATAAATTGGAGTCTGATTTGGTAAGGTAGCATCAAGAATGGTTAAAGCAATCAGGTACAAAGTGAAATATACATACAGTAGTTGACAATCCAGATAATAATTTCAATAATTTTTATTACACTGAAGTAATATTCTCATATGAATTATAAATGGCATGAGAAAAAGAGTTCAGTACACTAAACGGAGATAAACCCTATTCCTATTTGCACCAACATTGTAAAATAAAAACTAAACAAAGCAATTGCATTTTATGTGTTTGGCTGCTTTACTTAATTTGTTGGCCTGTTATATAAATGCACCCTCTACTGGATCCCAAAATTACAGCAACTATCCAGATTTTAAGATAAGAATAAAATTTCTCTAACTAAAGATGACCTTATAATGACTACATGGGAAAATTCATCATTCAATTTATTTTCTTATTTAAAATATGCAAAAAATTCTCCCTTCTTTCTTGTAGGATTTATTTTTCTTTTTAATAACCAGTCTAGCCACTCTCCTTGAAATTTCCTGGTGATCTTCCTGTTGAGATATAATGACACTCGGTTCTTGTAAATTTTATTAGACTTATTTTGCAACAGAAAAATGCAGAAGAATGTCAAACACCTTCCTGGAACATACAGCAAGATGTAAAGTCGTTATTGTAAACCTACTTTAAGAGTCTAATATCCCTCCCACAAGAGAAATCTTTTTGTATTTCTGTGTCTCTTGAGGTTATCCACTCTACTGACACCATTCTTCTTGTCAAGTATTATTTGGCTACATAAAGGATATATGTTAAAAGTATTTGTTGTTAATATACAAGTTACTTCATAATTTAGTAAAAGTTTCACATGGTTTTCAAATCTCAAACCTGGCTCCAAATTAATGGCATCTATAACATCCTTCTTACATAAAAGAATATTCCCACTAATAATCAGACTTAAAAAATAAATTTATTGAAAGAAAGAAAAAAGAACTATTTATTTTCCTTATCTGATAATCAAGATAACATATCCTTCTCCTATCTTGAATGGAATGCTATCTTAAACCAAATCAGACTCCAATTCCTAAGAACAACAGCTTTTCCTTCAGGGTTTCAAGCAAGAGCCTCTTCCAGGTGCCAGGAGTCAGTCTGAGTTGCAAACTATACATTTTGTCATTGAAAAAAATAGCACTTTTCTGCCAGTAAATGAATCATCATGAGGTTGACCTCCTTGTTGTGTTCCAAAGAGTTTGAGAGGTGCTTAAGAGGAGATGACTAGCTTACTGGCATTGTGTTCTTTGATGTGCTGTCCCTGAACCCAGTCCTTCCCCTCTGCCCATAATAATTATTTTGGGGAAAGTGAGTTTTTCTTCCCACCTTTAAACAGAAAAGTACACAAAGAAATAAAATTATGAATTATTCCTTTGTTCTCTCAAGTATGCAAGATTCTAGTCGTGATTTTAAAAAAAACCTATGCGTTCAGAACTTACCAATAAAATCCAAAAGTACAAGAGACTATTATAAAATGCATGCTGCTGTGAAGCAACCACTAAATAAGTGGAAAATATGAATTTGAACTGCCTTATATAAAGACAATTTGTGACTCAGTTGAATCCAGGTAGCCTTTTTACTTCTGAGACACAAAAATAATACAGCATCTATCACAATAACTATGGACGTAATAAAAGGGAACAGTCTCTACTGAATAACAAGTTTTTTTTCCAAGTTTGAATGAACACAACTGTTTCTGATCTTTTAATTCAGTGTGAAAAACTCAAAAAGGTGCAAGAAACTTCCTACAGGTTTTTCAGCAGACTTAATTATTATTCTAGAAAGAATCTTAGGTAAAGTTGTTCCTCACAAAAGTATTCAAGAGATTAATTTCTGAAAGCGTTGATAAAGCAAAAAAAGAAATGACTGTTCTCACCTGGTATGTATACTGTCAAGTAAAGGTCCACTTCTTGCCTTTAACTGGTCAATTTCTAGTCTCAACCTGTCAATTTCATCAGACAGTCTCCTCTGTTCAGAATGAAAGCAGAAATTGTTTCTCTACAATCTCTAGTCAATTATAATTAACCTTCACAATGAATGCATTTGTGAAGTTAAAATGGATACAAGCAAATAACAATGAAACAAAGCAAGAAATAGAAAAATACTAGTACAAAGAGACAAGATAGAAGGGACATTTCTGAAGTGCTATCCAAAAAAGCTGAGACTCTGCTAGAAAATATTATTTCACAGAAGAATCTATAACTATGGTAAACAGAATAAACCTAATATATGTGACCTGTTTATCTAAATTTGTATTAAATGTAAGCCTAAGCAATATATTTTCTAGATTATGACTTTGTACTTAATTTACCTATGGTTCATTTTCATATGTATGGCAGTTGGAATTATGGTTTTCTAATCAGAAAAAGAAACATTAGGTGCTTCATTATACAACAGTTACATTCACTGTTGGTTATTACTATGTAAACTATTAGCCATGCCAGTATGATTATTTGATATCTATCTTTTGAAGACCTCAAAAGTAATTCTGATAAATATGTCTGGTACTTCTTACACAAGGTTTAGTAATAGCATTTACCTTGTCATGCTGCTGCTCTTCAATCTGTTTTTGAGTATTTTCCAATTCTTGCAACAATGTGTTCTTAAAAACCAAAAGACGAATAGTTAGAAACATATGGGGCCTGAGGTAAGATCGTAGAAGTTATGCCCATCAAAATAAATTATTTATTTTATCATAATTATTAAAACAAATAATTAATAAGGTACAAGACTCAAACTGGATTAGAAATAACACTAGTTACACTAAGAGGAACAATATCACAGAAAAAATATTACACATAACAGACATTGAAGAAAAGATGATTCTTCTTAGATTATCATAGACATGGTCAAAGAGTAAAAATCTCTCTCTTTTCCCTGCCTGATCCCAATTCAGTCCCATTTCCATTATTTTACTTAATTACTTGTCAAACTCTTATAGGGCAGAATAACCATAGGACAAATGGAAAAATTATAAATATTTAATGAAAATGGACCAGAAATCTTTTCCATGGTACTGTACAGGAATAATATTTGCCAGTTATAATAGAACTGTAGCAATTACACATCATTTATAATGTATAATTCTTTGTTTATCTTCATGAATTGCTAGAAAAATTATTGGAAAAAAACTACAGTACACGTTTTCAAATATAATCTGAAAGTGAAGTATCTTTGAGTTTTTAAGTATATTTAATAGCATCACTGAAGTTATCGGGGAGGGGGATGCCAAAACCATTTAAACTTTGCGGTGTCAAATATAAAACAATAAGTTTCTTAAAACTTGACAGCATTTGAAGATAATTATTTCTTAGATGGGCAACAACTGGATTTTCAGTCCAGAAAGGATTCCCTGAATTTAAAAAATATCATTTATATATGGAGGTAATGCAGTTAAAATGATATTGTTATTCAGCACTGATATAAATGAAAAAAGTAAGTAGTAATGGCACAAGAATGCCATTACATATAGGCTCATTCACTAAAGAGGAGGATTTTGTTATAAATGGTACTGATTGCCATTATTCTCTGTGATCCTTGAAGATGGCACTCCCTGGGCAAAGATATGTGAAGACAGCCTGGTCCACCAGATCTAACTGGATGGACAGATACTACTGCTAGTTGTGCAGATACTTTAAGGGTAACAACCTTCAGTTGCACCCAGAACTCAATTGGCTACCATGCAGCTTGCCTAGTAACAGTGTTACACGGGAGAATCAAGATACATCTGTAATGATTATTTTGTAATCATGTGCATATTTATTTAGTAGGACTACCTCTTCACAAAAGTCAACCAATTTGCATTTAATCAAAAGTACCTGTCTTGCCCATGAACTCTCAACTGCATCTCAAGCAACCTAAATCTGGCTTTTTGATAGTGTATATGTGTCACACACATACATATACATGCACAGAGAAAGACATGATAAGTTTCTCAGAAATTCAAGATGTGAATGTGGCTCGATGAACTAAAGGGATTTCAAAAAAATTTAAAAAGCCAGAATTCTATTCCATATTTATTGCAGCAGCAATTTAAATCATACTTTCATCGTTCTTAATTCATGATAAGAACAAAGAGAAAAATCCCAGAAAGAAGTCAAAGTCTTATAAAAACCAAGGCAGCAAAGAATCAACCACTCTAGCCAACCTACTCCCATGCTCTAATGCGCGGCAGCACTAATACATTTCTAATATCCCTTCTACATAAATCACTGGCTTGGAAAACAGCTGCTACACTTACTACAGGTAGTTCTTGACTTACAACCACAATTGAGCTCAAAATTTCTGTTGTTAGTGAGACATTTGTTAAGTGAGTTTTGCCCATTTTATGATCTTTCTTGCCATAATTGTTAAGTGAATCACTGTGGTTGATAAGTTAGTAACTTGACTGTTAAGTGAATCTGGCTTTCCCATTGACTTTGCTTGTCAGAAGGTTGCAAAAGGTGATCACATAATCTTGGGATACAGCAATGGTCATAAGTATGAACCAGCTGCCAAGCATCTGAATTCTGATCACACGATCATGAGGATGCTGCAAAGGCTGTAACTGTGAAAAATGGTCAAAAGTCACATTTTTCAGTGCCATTGTAACTTTGAATGGTCACTAAATGAACTGATGTAAGTCAAGGACTACTTCTATTCAAAACATCAGTGATATGACCCATCAAATGTCTTAGCTTCTTTTTTTAAGGTGGATTTTTGAGGTTATGAACATTCCAGTACCATCTTGTTATCAGTAAAATTAATTTTCCTATTTGAATATAAATAATAAAAAGATCTGCACTATACCTTTTCTTCAAGGGCTGCCATTCTTTCTTTAAGATGAAGCTGAAGTCTTTCATTGGATTCACTCAACAGCCTGTCCACAGTATCAGAGAGTCTCTTGTTATGTTCCTCGTTCATTTTCTCCCGTTGACGGGCCTGGGGGTCAAGATCAGCCAAAGATCAGCCAAGATCAGCCAAATATTCCCAAGCAGTTTGCTCTGAGACTGCATTAAAATTAACCTTAATGATTCAAGAAAACAGAAATTACTATTTCACTATAACTAGCCCATTATAACGTAAGAAAAAATTTACAACAATTCAAGGTACTTTTATTGACTGGAAAATGCTAAAAGAGAACTACCCACTTATTTTAGTTACTCTTCATAGGATTTAGCCCAAAAGCCTCTTAACATGATTGTGTTTTTCTTTACTCCCTTTCCAGTTCTTCAGTATCCATCTTGTATTATGGCCATGAAAACTAGATACAGTATTCCAAATGCAGTCTGACTAGGTCATCATAGACCAGAAGTAACCTGTGTCACGATCTCAATATTATTGATTCAGGCCAAGACTGCAACTTCTGCTTGCTCATGCTTTATCTGTGGTGCACACCCTACAGGTCAACCAGATCTTTCTCCCGAGTACTACTACCAACCTGAGTTCAGCCTTTCTTGTACCTGTGCATCTGGGTGTTTTTTCCTAAATGCAGAACCTTACAGTTATTGCCATTGAACAGTATTTTGCTAGATAGGGCCCAAAGTTTAAATCTATCAAGATCCCCTTGAACCCTTAAGCTATCTTCTGTGTTGTTAGCAGCCCTCCTAGCTTTGTGTCACTTGCAAATTTGACAAGTATTGCCTGTATCTTTTCTTCTAAATTATTTATAAAAATGTTGTTCCTTTCTAAGTTCTTGCAAACCCCTGCTGGATTATCTTTTCTTTTTAGGATTTTCCCAGGTACCAATGACAAATTGAGTGGTCCATTGTTCCCCACAGGGAAACAATGTTAACTCTACTCAGTCTTCAGACCTGTATTCTATATGAAGGGCCTTAACATGACATCTCAGGAGTAAGACAGATCACTTTGATCAGAGGTAGAAACAGGGAAAGGGGAATGCAGAAATAGGGTTCAGACAGAAAAGTCATCATAGATGGGACCATCTGATATTATAACATTAAATTAATTAAATTAAATCAAGAAGTGAGGCTAATTATTTAGATAACTATACCTAACACAACTATACAACATTTGCATATAGTAAACATGAAGTTGAAGTGATTTCTTCTATTGCTTCAGTGCCACAGATTTAACTACATTTTAACAACCTATCACTTAACCATATCATAAGAGTGTGACTGAAGATGTAAAACCACCATGTGGGATCCCAAAGGTGCTTTTTCAAGAGGCAACTAGACTTTCTGGTTTTTCTTTGAAGTTGTCTGCAAGGAGTATAAATCCTTCCATTCCCCATTATCCAATCAGAGCTGAAGAAGCTTCTTGCATGCAAAGCGAAACGTCCTCAAAGAAAAACAAGAAAGCCTGGTTTCCTCTTTAAAAAGCACCTTTGGGACAACCATGACCTGGGTGGCTGAGAATCTCCATAGACAACCAGGTGGGATATTCTTTCTCAAGAGTATCCATGTGATGCCACATTTGTAAAAAAAAACCCAACACATTAATATCATAGAAGAAAACATAACAAGTAACACCAAGTTACCATTTTCAATTTGACAATATTCTGACCTGAAATAAAATAAAGCTACATTTTCTGGAGAAAACAACTTACCCTTCCCAGTTCTTGGTTCTTCTCCTCCAACTGAGTTTCTAATTGCCGCAGTCTTTCTTCAATACTACCATGCCTTTCTTCAGCCTATATAGAAAAAGACATTCTTTAAAATGGTGGTTCCCAACCTCCTCAAGCAATGAATCTGAATCTGAACCTGAATCCCACCAAAGTAAAAACAAAACACTGGCTTTTTAAAGAATCTTTCTATATTTATAAGTCTTCTGTTATTGGTTGTTGTTTTAACTACATGAAAAATTGTTCTTAACAATAATTTGTACAATTATAATTGTAAAACAAACTGATAAAATAAATACTTTCATTTTAGCCTGTGGTTATATCTTAGTGATTGGTATCTCAAGTAAAAAAAATCTAATATTTACTTTCATTAGAGTAAGACATTGTGATCGTATTCTGAGACTCTCTTTATTGTACTCCAGTGATATCTGTTTCAGTCCAGATATAATTTCTGCACAACCCTAATCTAGCAACTACTGAAATGTATACTTCACTGATGACTCAAAAGATTAATCTTTCTCCAATAAACAGCTTCTTTTAGCTCATTTCATTGGCGGTGGCAACTAGAAGTTGGGAAGACCATAATGCTAAAACAGGAGACGGATTGGTTGTCCTTCTATTAGTCTCTCTCATCTTCTCCCATGCATTGATTTAAATACAGGTAGCTCCCAGTGTATGACCACAATTGAGCCTAAAATTTCTGATGTTAAACAAGATGATTGTTAAGTGAATTTTATTCCATTTTATGACTTTTCTTGCCATAAGTGAATCACTGCAGGATTAAGTTAGTAACATGGTTGTTAAGTGAATCTGGCTTCCCATTGATTTTGCTTCTCAGAAGATTGCAAAAGGTTTACGCATGAACTTGAGACACTGCAACTGTCATAAATATGAGTCAGTTGCCATGCATCTAAATTTTGATCACATGACCTTGGTGAGACTACAACAATTGTAAATATGAAAAATGGTCATTAGTTACTTTTTGCAGTGCCTTTGTAACTTCAAACAGTCTCTAAATGAACTGTTGTAAGTTGAGGACTACCTGTAAATTAATCATATCCTATCCAGGGGCTACCTGTATACCATCAATGGTACAAAAATTACCTGTTACAAAATACTGCTCGAAGGAATTAACGAATCAGCTGTGGAAATGCGGGTTGCTAAAAATGGAGAAGACTTGTTCTTATATACAGTGTTGACAAACCTTTTCGGCACCAAGCACCAAAATGGGAGTGCATATACGCGCGGGGCAGCACCGGAAACCGAAGAGCAGCTCCCTGGCACATGCATGCAGGAGTGTTGGAAAGAGAGCTTCTGTTTTTTGGTGCATGCATGCACGCCAGCCAGCTGGTCTTTGCACGCACATGCATGCCAAATACCAGAAAACCAGGTGGACAGGAAACTGGAAGCTCAGCTTCCTAGCACACGTATGCGTGCTGGAAAGCTGCCCTCCCAGTTTCTGGAGCTCCTGAGCATGCGAAGACCAGCTGGCATGCACGCCAGAACTTGGAAAAGCAACAGGCGATGGCCCTCCATGCCAATCCTGGCATGCATGCCATAGGTTTGCCATCAGAGTTATATAGGTTTACATTTATATACCCTATAGATTTAACTAAGCATCTGGTATATAACCAATGTGGATTTACTCTTGTGAAATATTTGGAAAAGCAGCAAATTATTCTCTGAGAGATTCTAGAAATAGAACCTCTCAACCTCAGGGCACAGACATGAGTTCCTTGTTGAATTCATTACTTTATGGTTAGAAAGCTATTTGAACCTCATAGCACATATTTCTTGGCTAGTTCTGGTTTATATCAAGCTTGTAAATATATTTCATTCAAGAAGTATATAAAATGCTCCCATCTGATTCCTTAAATGTACAAATAACAGATTTAATAGCAATACCATAGTCTTGGTAAACGGATCTTAATCCCAAAACTAAAATAAACACACAAAGTATCTGACAATTTAATGGGATAAAGCATCCTTGGACAGCAGTTACTGCCCTCCAATTCTGTGTGCATTAAATAGTAAAGCCCCTAGTATAATCCATTGAAAGATTGAGCACAACCAATCTTACCTAAATACCAGCATAGGAGGCAGCTATACACAAACTGAATATAAACTGGATTTCTCAATCAGTTCCAAAATTATAACTCAAAATAACTCAATCCAGTGCTTCAGAGCTATTCAAAGCCTCAGCTTTTCTGATTTGGATAGCATCAACTATTTGAATCGTATTAGAGCTTAACTGTATATCGCTAGTAGCTACTTCTTAGGATAATTATGTCCCTAAGAGAACTTTATGCTAGTCCAATTGATGATGCTGAGCTTTTCGCTTTTTCTTTTAAAAAGTCAGTTTTTAGAAGACAAACAAGTAGGTTCATGACCTTTTCCCAACTTGTTTTCCATCCCAAGAAAGTCATATGGCCTGGACAGATGCCAAACCATTGAGTATCCTAGGTTTTATTGAAAGCTCATGACAGTCCTGTCTACTTGCCTTGGTAAGAGCTGCTATTCTTTGAGCTAGCTCAGCTTCCACCTCAGGCAAAGTCTCAGCTTTCCTCATTGTCTGCTGCAGTTTCTGCTCCGCCAGCTCCAGAAGCTCCTGAAGATGCCTGGCCTTCTCTTCACACTGTGGAATGATGCAGAATGGCAGCAATGTATACCAGGAGCCAGAAATGCTAAGGATATTTCCAAACAACGTCAGAGCTCTGTACTCGAATGCATGTATTCCAACCAGAATCGGTTTTCTTTACACATGCTTTTGATTCTGATTTTTAAAAAGCTGAATATCAACATTTACTGCTACAGGATTGCAGGATTTACATTATGTTAATTAGAACATATTTTACACCTGTATAAAATGTTCTGAATTGAAACACTCTGACTCCAAAATGCCATGTCTCTATTCTAACTATGTAAGACAATTATTTAAAATGAAAAATAGACTGCTTTGAGCATTTTACATCATTGAACCTGAAACAATGTTTTGTATTTGAAACAGAAATGTTCTCAGCTTAAAACATCTCTAAAATGCTCAAAATGGAAAGTTTTGACTCAGAATATTTCAAAATCAAAACATTTTGCACAGCCCTACTAATTTTATATATTATAAAGTTTCTTCATAAATATTTTATTGGATTTATTTGTCACTCAGAAAGTTTTCATAATGGAAGTTTATTAAATATCTTCCCAAATAAATAAATAAAATCTTAAGCACAGCAGCAAATCCATACAAATATTTTAAAATTACAGTCTTGTATTTTAACACTCTGAATATTAAACCACTAAGGTCAGAGGTGGTATTCAGCAGGTTCTGACCAGTTCTGGAGAACCAGTAGCGGAAATTTTGAGTAGTTCAAAGAACCGGCAAATACCACCTCTGACTGGCCCCACCCCCATCTATTCTCTGCCTCCCGAGTCCCAGATGATTGGCTGGGTCTTCTTTTGTTGCCCTGCACAGGAGAATGAAGCTGGAAAGCGGGTTAGTGGGTTGGGGTGGGAATGGAGATTTTACAGTATCCATCCCCTGCCACACCCACCAAGCCATGCCACGCCCACCAAGCCATGCCCACAGAACTGGTAGTAAAAAATTTTGAATCCCATCACTGACTAAGGTAAATGGATTTGGGGCCTGTACAAAACCAAATTTAATATTAGGTATTGCTTGGAACCAGTACACAAAGATTGGGTTCTCCCACATGAATCAACATAATACGCCATTTTTTAAACGTTCCACATTTTCAATTGTGATGCCCCATTTGTGAAAAGATTGCATGGTACCCTAAAGAATCGCTGGCAAAGACAAGGCTTTAAACATTTTTTACTCAAAGAAAGTTGTCTGTTAATTTTAACTGTCTTTACAGTTAAACATTATTTTAAAATTCTGTAGTTTTATTACAGGTTTATGTGCAAGAATAGCCAAGCTCAATCATTCACTTGAACAGCGGGTACAGTACTAGTCATGAAGGCTAAGTAGTAGTGCTTCTGGGAAAGAATCATCTCAACAAGAAGAGTATCTAGGAAGAAAGGTCTGCTAAGGAGCCAAAATGGGCCTTCAAAAATAGAGCACATCATCCATGAAGCTCTCTATCAGACTGACACAGGCATTTCATTTGCCGTGACGTTTAAACCCCATTACCTGACGATGGAGAGAGTCTTTATTGGCAAGCTCATTCTCCAACTTGTCATTAAGGTCATGAATGGAAGTTGCTTCTCTCTGGGCTGCCAGATAGCGTTTCTCTAGGGTGGTTATTCTCTCCTCCATGTCTTCTTTTTGTGCCAAAGCCTGGGAAAGGAAATATTAACAATGCAGGTTTACTTCTACAATAGAGTCTAAGTTAGTCTACTTCCATTGTAAACCAGATTCATTTTCCCACTGTTGTAATTGGAAGATGGGAAACAAGTGCTGGAAAACTCCATCACAGTTAAATCCTCTGATACCTGACAGCAAATTATATTCTACACATCATTTGCAGCTGTAGAACATCTGTACAATACTGACTGGTGCCTTTCACTATCTGTCAAATGTATTATCATAGTGGCTTCAAGAATCATAGAGAGATTAACAAGGAAGAGGGGCTGGTAGGGGAAAAAAATGTCACCTGGATTTTCAAGAACTTGCACTAACAAAAATATAAGAAACCTGCCGAGCTTTTTCAAGAATTTTAACAGAATATTCTAAACTAAATTACCTTTCTGGAAGGGTTTAGAATAATTTTATAATTTATTACTATATAACTAAACCCATTTCTTTAGGTACTTCAATAAACTCAGGATTCAGTCTAAGTAGAAAAACTGAATTATTTTAAATTGATTTAGAAGAGGGTTTTTTGTATGCCATCATTTTCACAACTGGAATTTAGCACTCTGACCTCTCGTAGGTCCCTCTGGTACTTGCTGCTCATTTCTTCAGATTTGATGAGGTCCCTCCTGGCTGTGCTTAGATCTTCTTCAAGCTCAGAAACACTGGCAGCCAGACCAGCTAACCTTTCTTTAGCTTGTGCTAGTTCAAAGTTTTGTTTCTCTAGAAGCTCCTGCAATTCCACAATCTGACTTGCCCCATCATCTGGGTGTATAGAGCCATTAGGGAGTCTCTGTCAAGTAATATAGAAAAAGATTCCAACTTTTCATATCAATAGAGAATGGATAAATTAGAACAAGTGTCATTGTAGGTTTTTAAAATCTACTCAATAAGACAAGTGCCATGGTATCAATAATTATTTTTATGTATAAACCACATAATAAGGTGGGTTTTTTCTTCCATTCAATCCTGTCTGATTCTCAGAGGCTGCCTAAACAAGTTCCTGCAGTGTTCTTGGCAAGGTTTTAAAGGTTTGCCATTGCCTACTTCCCAGGGCTCCGAGAAAGACTAGTCCATCAGGGTCACCCCAATGGTTTTGTGCCTAAGATAAAACTAGAACTCTCAGTTTCCTGGTTTCTAGGGTGATTCCTTAACCACTACACCAAGCTGGCTCTACATAAGTGTATAGCTCTGCACAATATACCTTTTGAAAATAAGATGTCTTAAATCAGATGAAATCTTAGAACACGGGTGTCAAACTTGCCTTGTTACGTTGCTGTCACATGATGTTTTGTGATGTTTTCCCCCTTCGTGGAGCTGGGGTGGGCATGGCCTGCATTTGATGCAACCAGCCCGTAGGCTGCCAGTTTGACACCCCTGTCTTAGAATAACTGGAAAACTGTTCAATCAGTCTATTTCAAAATTTTAGAAACAGCAAAGAAAACACAAAATTTGTCTCAAGGCTAAAGAGTCCCATGGAACATAATTGTCTGACTCAGAATTGCAGACATAAAGTATTTCAATTGTATCTTGGCTATTATCCAATTCCCAGAAAGTTGCCTCTTACCTTCCAAAGCACTTTTTGTCCAGATTCTTTGCCCTCAGTCCTTTTTTCATCTTCCCCTACAGGTGCTTCCCTTTGGGAAGATCCTTGCTGAAGAGCATTTACCTGAAAAATACATATTCAGTAGAACTAACAGTTCTCATAAACATGAAAAAAAATGCAAAGCACTTCTATAGAACAAGGGATTTAGAATACTTCTGACAGTTAAACTGATATTTTAACAGATTTCAAAGGAGGCGCACCTACTTTTCACTTACAACAAATTATTGGAAAGAAAAAGCCACATCTAATAAATTATTTTGTGCAGTTTAAACTTCATGATATAATAAAAGCATGCACGTATTTAACTAATCTTACTCATTAGATTGCTGCCATCTGTTCTGTCATTTTCTTTTTTTTTTTCTTTCCTTCCTTGGATATGACATCGTCTAGATATTATTCATTTTATTTGTACTCCATCTGTATTATTATTACAAATAACTCAAGGTGGCAAATTTATCAAACACCCCTTCTTCCTCCTATTTTCCCCACAACAACAACCTTGAGAGGAAGTTTGGGCTGAGAGACAGTGACTGGCCCAAAGGCATCCAGCTGGCTTTCATGGCTAAGGTGGGACTTCAGCTCACGGTCTCCTGCTTTCTAGCCTAGTGCCTTAACCACTAGACCAAACTGGCTCTCTGTTACAATAAAGACAGACCACTTTGCATTTTACACTGGGCTTTGTTGTTCTATGTGCTTGTAGTAAACAGAACTGACAAATTATTTGAGAAACATTCCTATGAAATCTGGGATAGAAAATGAAATGTATATTTACTTGCTGGTGGGCACTGGACAGCTGTTCTTCTAGTGTTGCTACTCGTTCCAGTGCTGCTCTCAGGCGTTCTCTTACCTGTAAATAGAGAGTTTTCTTGCAATTTATTGGACTAAGGTGCCAGATTTAAGAACACCTAGCACCTGAAACTCCATTTCAGAACACAAACAATTTAATGAGATTACTCTCCTCTCAAATTATTTGCCAGAAGGGTGTAGAACTGTCAGCAATAGGAGCCTGGATCTTATTTAAATAACAGAATGCTCTTGCGGGAGATTATGATCTTTCATATAATGACTTGGTCTGCATGTGGAAAGAGTACTCTCTGTAAGCATAAACAGAAGATGATTTCAGAAAGTTGTCTACATTAGTATTTTTCAACTTCAGGAACTTTAACATGTTTGGACCAACTCCCAGAATCATTTAGTCAGCATTCTGCAAATTGAAATACAAAACTGAATTAGAGTGGAAGCGGACTGCTGGAATAGCCCTTTAGAAGAGCACTTGTACAAATTCAGTTTTGACAGTAGCTTCCTGCACTGTAAAGCAATAATATTTGAGAATTTTCTTCAAAGGGCAAAACCTTTTAATATGGAAATCATTTAGTGGAAGGATCAAAAGATACAAGAGAGTTCTAAAGAAGTGCTGAGCCAAAGCAATACTAGAGATCATCACAACTTTGTTACTTAAAAAGATTATGAGATAAAAACAGATGGCTTTATTAAAGCTAACCTTTCTCCAACAAAACTAACCACTTTGTAAGTCTCACCTTCTCATCCAATGCTTTATGATGTTCAAATAAAGACTTCAGGGCCTTCAGAACTTCAACCTCACTGGAGACACCTGATGGAGACTGAGCTTGCCGCTTTACTACTGTCATCCTCAGAGAGCGTTCATGCCTTGAGACCAGGCACTCCAAGTGCTCCAACAAAAGCTGAAAATTAAACAGCAGCTCCAGTTATTCTTTATGTAAGTTACTGTAAGCAAGATAAAGCTTTCGGTCCTTGATTTGAACAATTACCAGGTTTAACTGCAAAGGCATTTTCTGCACCAGAAATATAGACATCAGACTAAGGCTGAATCTTAAAACCTAATAGGTAAGATTTTATGTATAAAAATAAATTAATAAACATACATACATTGAGAGATTGTTCACAGGAGATGTAGCAGAGGAAGAGATAGGTAAGCTTTTATAAACTGTCCTTGGATTAATTCAGAAATTATTCTATTGTTGCTTAAAAATGTTTATTATAAGATGATTTATTAGATTGGGGTTCCCAAAATGGGAGTTGTAATGCTGTAAGATGGTTACAATCTACCAGGAACAGGGTTTTTTTAAAAAGTTGATCAAGTTTGTACAGGCAAAGTGGGAGTAGTGTTAAAATTCACTCATACTTTGTCTTGGCAAGCTTACTTTGGTCTTGTGCAGCCAAAACTGAGACAAAAGCCCAATCTGAGTTTTGAGAGACGACTAAACCCCTGAGTCTAGCCATCTGTCAAAACCATTTGCCAATCATAACAGCACTGTGTCTGGCAGATGGTTTCCTGCTAATGTGGCATGTAGTAGTACATCCAAACTTTGAAGCAGCTCTAAGTATAGAATTAGTGAAGTTCAATACTCAATTTCTCATTTAAAATTTCTAGCATTTCAAATAGAAAATGTATTCATGTATAGTTGAGAAAGCTAACCATCTTCCAGTAATGCTGAAAACGGTAAACCTAAGCAAAGAAAGTATGGTGAAAATTATGTATCTTTTGCCCAAGTTTGCTCTCAAAAGAATAATTAGTTATATTCATGAAGGAATCATATAAATTAGCAACTTTTATTGACAGAACTTGGCTTTTCTTTAGACTGCCTTTTTTCTGTTCAATTGTATCCAATTCTCAGAGACTACCAGGGCAAATCCCTGCAGCTTTCTTTCCAAAGCTTTTCAGACGTGGTTTGCCATTATCTTCTTCCTACGTCTGAGAGAGAGTAACCACCCCAAGGTCACCCAGGTGGCTTTAAGGTGGAACCAGAACTCATGCTCTCCTGGTTTCTAGCCTATTCCCTTAATCACTGCACCAAACTAGCTCTCTGAGAGAGTGCCTTTAACAAATCCCTAATATTCTTTGCAGGGTTTACAAACACCTGAAGGATTGTCACAGACAGAAGGGTATGAATTTATTCTCCATAACTGGACATGGTCCTAAATTGCCTCCGCAGGTATGAAAACCAAGCTATATTCTAAGAAATATAAAACAAGGCCAACATTCTATAGAATTTACCCTGAATTTAACAGAGATTATGTTAAACCCTGTCATAATCAAAAGAACAAGAGAACAGTAATATTAAATATAACTGAAGATGGCAAATTCTACAAAAAGCTTTCAATCCTCTTAAAACTTAGGGCTGGGGAAAACTGCAAATATTCTGTATAATTGTCTATTAGAGAGTCGGGGGAACCTTAGAGAAAGGCAGATCATGCTGCATCTCAATTAACCTAGATTGTTAATTCTAGGTTCAAAGGAAACCATATGATTTCTTTCCTTTTGTTTTAGAATGATGCACAAATCAGGCCATTATGGCATATTCAACAACTTATGATTAAGTTGAATGTTATCTGCAAATATAAATGTGGCTTTTGGATTAAGCTACCAAAAGAACTTGTCCAGAGTAAAACTCATTTATTACTCACCCGCGTATTATTGCGTTCTGCTTTCAGCTCAGAGATTTCCTCTTCCCTTTCCAACAGCTGTTCTCGACATGCATTGAGTTCCCTGGTCAATGTTGCAAATTCCTGCAAGACAACCATAAACTCCACAATTGAGTTAGGTTTCTATAGATTTTGCCTAAATAAAAGTAATGCCATAAAAAAGGGAATTGCATCCTTATCCTTCCCTGCCTCCCTATCCTACCCAAGAAATCACAAAATATTTCAGTTACCCAAACTGGATTTATGTTACACAACTGATTATGAATTATAAAATCAGCTAAATAAAATGTGTAGTCATTCCTCAGCAAACAAAAAGCAGCCCCCTTTTTTTTTATTCTGACACTTATCAGCAGGTTTTTATACTTCATAAGGCATTCAAGTGTTCCAAAATTACATTTATTACTTTGGTGTAATCTGAAATGGCAGTAAGATTCCACTGCCACCAGTACCTCTGCCCTCAGTTTCTCTCCTATTTGAATTCAAGAAAATAAGAAACAGCAAGTGAAGTGTTTCAGTCTGTTCATTTAAGACAGTTACTAGTAAGTGCATTTTTGGTATTTAAAATATCTTGAGCCTTATATGCCAGCTCAAATTGCCATCTAATGTTTGGTAGCAGAACAAAACATAGCTTTGCTTGTTTGTTTTCCTACCAAGCAAGATTTGGATCAGCTTTCTGAGTTTTGTGAATGGCTTACACTGGGGTTTCCTTTCACATAATAAACCCAAGAGGTATTTTGAACTGAGAAAGGGCGTTGGTACTTACCTGATATGCCTGTTCTCTGTGAACTGTGAAGAGCATCCAGAAGTGGGAGGTGCTTCAGTCTCTTCTGGAAATGCTGGGCTTAAAACTCTGGGACACTCCTCCTCCTCCACGGGACACCTCCTCAGCGTCGCCCAGTTTTACAAAGACTGAGTGCCAAAGTCCGGGACTCATCACCTAATCTAGATCCCTGACTGGAACGGAACCCCACCAGACGGAAAGAAATGGGTGAGGCTGGATGCTCTTCACAGCTCACAGAGAATGGGTGTATCAGGTAAGTACCAATACCCTTTCTCCCATGAGCTGTTCAGAGCATCCAGAAGTGGGACATACCAAAGCTTGGCCTGTCCTTAGGGAGGGACTCCGTCTGGATCGAAATCCACTCCTAAACTCTGTGGACCCTCTGCAGGACTCTTCTGCCAAATGAAGCGTCCGCTGAGGCATAGACATCAAGTTTATAATTTCTGACAAAGGAGATGGTGAAGCCCAAGTTGCCGCTCTGCAAATTTCGTCTATGGAAGCCCGTGTGGCCCATGCTGCTGATGTTGCTGCACTCCTTGTTGAGTGGGCTGTAATGCCCTTAGGAACTGAGATGGACTGGCATTCGTAACTTTTAGCTATGGTGGCTCTCAACCATCTACCGATGGTCGTCAATGACACCTTTTGCCCTAAAGTGGATGGGTTGAAGGATAGGAATAGAGCCTCAGATATTCGAGATGCTTAAGGCCCTTCAAACGTCAAGTCGATGCCATTGATGCTCCAGTCTATGAGATGGTTTCGGACAAAAATTTGGAAGCACCAACTCCTGCGCTCTGTGGAAGGCTGAATTTACTTTAGGAGTGAACGATGGATCCAACTGGAGAATCACTCTGTCCGCATAAAACACGCACTGGTCCTTTCTCATTGACAATGCCGCCAATTTGGAAATCCTCCTTGCTGATGTGATTGCAATTAGGAAGGCCACCTTATATGTCAGGAATTTAAGACTAGTGGTTCTTAAAGGCTCAAACGGGCCAGTTGTAAGTGCGGTTAACACCTTGTTGAGGTCCCAGGTGGGATAGCGGTGAATTACAGGAGGTCGTAAGTTTGCAGCACCCTTAAGAAAGCTGAGGACATGTGGATGGTGCACTATGGAACGGAGGTCACCCCAGGCTATCACCGAGGCTAAAGCTGCCACCTGTCTGCGTAAAGTATTTGGAGATAGGCCCTTGGTCAACCCCTCCTGTAAAAAGTCCAATCATTGTCCTATTGATGGGGCAGTTGGGTCGATCTTAGACCCCTGGCACCAGCGACAGAAGGCAGACCACGTGGCTTCGGATATACGATTTGTTGAGGACCATCTGGATGCTTGAATGGAGGCAATAGCATCCTCTGAAATCTGTTGGGCCCTTAAACGGCTCCGCTCAAACTCCATACGGCTAGACTGAGCCATTGTGGGTTCAGGTGAAGTATCGGCCCTTGGGAGAGGGAAACCTTCGATGGTGGAATTTTCCAAGGTTGTTCTCTCGACAGGTCCTGTAAGTCTGCGAACCACGTTTGCCTGGGCCAGTAAGGGGCGACCAATATCAATTCTGCTCATTCCTCCAATAACTTCTAGATCAACCTGGGTATTACCAGGAGTGGAGGAAATGCATATAGAAGTCCGGGAGGCCACTGACATCGCAGGGCATTGACGGCCTCCGCCCCCGAGTCGGGTACCTTGAAATATACCAGGGCAATTGGACGTTGAGAGGAGAGGCAAATAGATCGATCACTGGTTGCCCAAACCTCTGCACTGCTTCCTGGAAGACAGACAGGTGTAGGCGCCATTCTGCCTGATCTATCGTGGCTCTACTGAGCCAGTCTGCTTGTGTGTTTAAGGCCCCTGCTATGTGTTCTGCCTTGAGCGAAAACAGATTGGCCTCGGCCCACTTGAACAACTTGGCCGTCTCCAGCATCAGAAGTTTGGAATGGGTACCCCCCTGTCTGTTTACGTGGGCCTTGGTTGTGATATTGTCTGTCAAGACCAGAACGTGGCATGATTGGAAAAGGGGTAGAAAACTGCGTAAGGCCAGGTGAACTGCTCACAGCTCCAACAGGTTGATGCTTTGTGATTGTTCGGAAATAGTCCAAAATTCCCTGTGCGGTGTGGGATTGGAAGTGAGCTCCCCATCCTATCAGGCTGGCATCAGTTGTGATTGTTGCCCTGTGAGTTTCCTTGAAAGGACACCCCTTGTTTATCATTTTTTCCAACCACCAGCAGAGCGATCAGAGAACATTGTGTGGTACCTTTATCCAGATGTTGGAAGTGGCTCTTTCGGATTGCTGGAAAGGTAGCAGGAACCATTGCAGCTCTCTAGAATGGAATCGAGCCCAGGGCACAATGGAAATACAAGAAATCAGTTTCCCTAACCGTTCAGACAGCACTGCCAGGGAAACCCTCTTTAAGGCTCTGATCTCTCTGGCCAAAGACTGGATACTGTTTAACCTGTCCTGAGAAAGAAAGACCTTGCCCTCCACGGTATCTATCACTGCTCCTAAATGAACTAACCTAGTTGAGGGGATCAAATGGCTTTTATCCCAATTTATGGAAAAGCCATGACACTGAAGGGTCTCCAGAATAATCTTGGTATCCAATTTTGCTTGATGTCTGGAAGATGACAAAATTAAAATATCATCCAGATAACATTGTAAGCGAATAGATTTGATCCTGAGTGAGGCAGCCAAAGCCGCAAGGACCTTGGTAAAAGTCCTAGGGGCTGAAGCCAGACCGAATGGTAGGGCGATATATTCATAGTGCCGATCACAATAGCAAAATCTAAGATATTTGTAGTGAACAGGTCTAATTGGTGTATGTAGATAAGCCTCTGTCAGATCTATAGAGGTCAGGACATCGTTCTCTCTGATGCTGAGCAGAATGGACTGGAGAGTAGTCATCTTGAATTTTCGATAATCCAATGATCTGTTCAGACGTTTGAGGTCCAGAATTGCCCTCCAGCCCCCCGAACTCTTTGGGACCACAAACAATAGAGAGTAACAGCCTTGACCCCGCTGTTCAGATAGGACCTCTCTAATGGCCCAAATATGTAGAAGATGATTGATAGTCTCCTGCATCAATGCCCTCTTAATGGGGTCCGTGGACCTAGGGCTCCTAATGAAAAAGTTCGGGGAGGAGGATTGAAACTCTAGCACCAAACCAAACCTAATAGTGTCCTTGACCCACGCATCAGATGTGGAGCTGTTCCATTGATCAGCGAACAATTTTAGCCGCCCTCCAATGGGAACTGCTGTCAAGGACTCACTTGGGGAGATGAAAAAATCGGCCTCCGGTGCCTCTGGGTTTTTTTCGGTTTTGCCCCCCCGCTGACCTCTATCGGAAGATTCAGACCTATCCTATCTAAAACTGGGCCTGTAGCCTGATGTTCTCTGAGATCTGGGAACGTATGGACCTTGATAGTAGGGCCGAAAGGAACCCCTTCGAAACGACTGGGACGTTCTGTTTTCAGACCTCCGAAAAAGAGGGGGAAGCACTTTTTTCTTGTTTCTATTCTCTATAAGGAGGGACTCCAAGACACTGCCAAATAATTTATCCCCCGATATTGGGGCTGATGCCAACTTGCATTTATGCTTGGTATCCGCCTGCCAATGCCTGAGCCATAGCAGTCTCCGTGCTGATACGTGAGATGCTATGGCCCTAGACGAAAATTTGACTGCATTAAATGTGGTGTCGGCGGAGAATTCTGCTGCTGCAATAATTTTAGCTATGTCCTGGTGGGCTCTGACATTTGACGCCAGCAATATATCCCTCAAGTGGAAGAACCATCATAGGGAGGACCATGTAAAAAAGGACGCCGCTGTAGCTGCCCTAATGGCCCAGGCATCAGAAACGTGTGCCCTACGGAGTGCCAACTCTGCTCTCTTTTCTTCCAGTCTCAGGGCTTCCTCGGCCTTGTTGGGAAAGGTTGAAGAAGAGGCCAGTGCCACAATGGGCTCATCTACCTCCGGCGTTTTGAGAAAATTTGAAAACTCTGGTACCAAATTATAATATCGTTTATCGTACCCTGTTGGGGCTGGGTAGGATGCTACTGATGCCCATTGATTTTGTACTAATTCAACAAACATACGAGGGACAGGAATAGTTTCCGCCTCATTAGCCGGTTGTGAGAATATTAGATCCTCGGATTCGTCCTGAGACCCTGTTGACAATGGATGAGGGTTTGATGTGCCTAGTTTAGCGGTGTTCTTTGCCTTGAACAGTAAGGGTCTAAAGAGGTGCGGGCGAAAAAGGCCAGAAAGGGTAGGTTGGTCCGGAATGAGGCCTTCGTTGTCCAACATTCCCCGTTCT